TAGGTGTATGAATCAAAGTCCTGGGCAAATTTAAATTTAGATTTAGAAATTATATTTATTTTTCGGAATTTTCCCTTTAATGCTTTTACCAAAATTGACAATTCTAGGTCAACCCGACGTACCATTTAGGTTTTGGGTCGATAACCCAAAATATATGTTAGTTTCCGTTGACCTAGAATCACGAAATTTGGCAACTCAACTTGCTAGGTCCACCCGTTCCTGAGAAAATCGGTGGTGATTATGTACCAATTTTATTATGGCAGTATAACCCTCGACGTTCGAGTTCGACTCGCGCTTGACCGTTTTTTATCGTTAACACATAATATTTCAGAATTGGGTTTGACATGAGAATACAAGTGGACTCTTTTAGTTTTGATCAAATTTTTCAACCTGTTGATTGTACCCGATTGAACCTGTTCATATAACGCTAAGCAGAGTTATCGGAGCCTAAAAGCATACTCTTCCAAATTGAACGGTGTATAAAATATTGTCAAACATGTTCGATCAAGACATCGAGGGTTTTCAATTTAATTACGTCCCAAAAATAAAAGAAGGCAAACCTTTTAAGAATGCCAAGCAAGAATTTATTACTGTTACGTTAAACTCATATCTGAATAAAATCGTACAGAAAGAAAGCGAATATGGTGTTCAATATTCACACCTATCTTAGTTATTTTTTTAATATGAGATAGTGGTAAAGGAGGTGGTTCACCTGATGTTTAGTAATAACCGCCGCCCATGGACATTGCAACACCCGTAGGGTTGCAATTGCATTGCCATCATTTATTAAAGTGGGCGCCGCCTATCACCAGACGAAACGCAGAAGTGTAACACTTCCACTTTACGCCGGTCTTCTGTGAGATCGTGGCACTTACCCGGACGGACCTGCCCATTCGTGCAACAGTGACCACTGCTGCGTGGCCCTATCACAGTTAATGTAGGGTCAATATAAAAAGTATTCCAATAGACAATAATGTTTGTCAACTTTAAGAATCCTTAAATAGTAAGAAAAAAGAAGATTGACAACTTCCTTAGAACAATTTACGCAATAAGTAAAATTTTACAATAAAATTTAATAAGTATTAATTTTGTTGTAAAATTATATTGAAGAAAAATCCTTTGAAAAGCTTTGTTTTGTATTTTGTTTTTATATCATTCGGTAATGTTCAATAAATAAATTAAAAAAAACGTGAGTTGGTGGCTTTGCAACCAAATTCATTATGGCGCTTTTTACCTGTCGGTGCGCGCGCGTTTCGTAAATATTTCACTTATTTTTGTCCAAACGAGCCAAAATAGTATAACTTGAAAATAATTTCCTTTGCGTAAGTGATTAGCACTCTAGAACATGTCTTTTGAGCATCCATAATTTGAAACTGACATAAACGTTATCGAATCTATTCAGAGAGAGCTTATTAAATATCTCAAATTCACTGCAAAATGGATACGAATTATGTCACATATGTAGAGTCTAATAATGGGCGAAGTAGACACAATAATTGCTATCTGGCCCATTGCTTAATATATGGAACACTAAGTGTACTCGTCAGAATAATTAACGTTTAGTTCACTTTACATCCAGTATTTATCAAATTCAATCGTTTCTCGCTTTTTTTTAAGTGACTTCTTTAAAATTTGTAGACATTTATGAGAATACAATTTCATGGGCACTTTAGGAGAAATTTTCAAGAAAAACTGACATGCCAATGACGCTTGCATGCTTCTGCGTCGCTGGTTTGCGACAGATGTAAGAGTCCACCTAGTTAGAAAGAGATAAAATATTATTTTTGGAGTGAATTATTGAGATTTTTTTTGTGAATTTATGTTTCATGTTAGTATTCATTATTTGAATTTAAGAGTGGTAGGGCCACGAAACATTGTCCGTCCGGGTTAGTACCACGACCACACAGAATACCGGCGTGAAGTAGAACTACTACACTTCTGCGTTTCGTTTGTTAAAAAAATTATAAAAAACAAAACTTAAAAATATTTTATGAACTGTTCAATATTTAGTTCCTTCTACCGGAATATTCGTCGAATGCTGTAAAGCCACATATCTCACAGTAATTAGAAATTTCGTAAACATACTACACAACGAGCGTTCAGCAGTGTGATTTAGTTATTTTCAATAGCACGCTGTCTCTAAGTGAAGTTGTTCTAATACCATTTTGTCCACCTTGCACATACAAAACGGTCTTCTTTAAGACCTCTGTACAGAGCACCATCAACCAAGCGCCACCACCGCAGACACCGCACTTCCCAAAACTATCTTAGAAATATGTTTTATTACAATTATTATTTCGAAAAATACAGGTTTCTTCTTGTTTTTTTTTTTACCTCTGGGCACGTGATAATAAAACAATCAAAATTGCAATTAAAGTTTCATTGGTACCAGCACCTGGATTTCAACTCAAAGTTTTTGAGTCCGGAGTTACACTGTCAGTCTAAGGTATAATTTCGTAAAAATGAAACATTTTAATTCAATAATTTATAATTTAATAATATATTCATATATCATCGTTTATAAATCGCAATATTCAACATAAAGTTAATAACTTGCCTTCTTCATGTAATGAATTTTCTTAGGTAGAGAATTCTATATACCTTTTGTAATCGTGTTCTCCGGAGAAAGCCATTTCGTAGAAAAATAATAAAAAAGCTTTTTCAGCCGCTTCAAGTGGGTTGCCGGGGTGGCTTATTTCGTAACACGAGGTAAAACGCTTTCTTATTTCTAATCGTCGTGTAAACTAAATAAAAAATTTCCTCTGGACCTGCAAGGCTCTATTACCTCTCCAGACACTACTTTATACTTAGTTTTTTTTTGTACTTTGTACTTTTACACTCAACAATACAAAATACATACATAACGTGCCTTTTACTTTTTATTTATTTCCTTTGTAAGAATACACCGAAAACAGGCACGTAATAAACCACAGTCATTTGGTAGAATGATAATGTTTTAATATATATATATATATATATATATATATATATATATAATTTATGTCAATACATATAATAATATGTGTTAGATCCTTTAAAAAACTGTCAAAAGTGCCACTATTTACTCGTATATGTGTGATTCTCTGACTTTTGGAGTAAGTAAGCTCAGCAACCAGTTTATTCTAACATTGAAAGTGAACAATTATCTCATAAATAATTAACTGTTTTATATATAAACTTTATTTTATATTATATTCAAACGATTTTGCCTCCTTCGATTCCATACAAGCCATAAATGTACTTACTCGTAGTAACTGGTGTTGGTCAAGATTCCTTGCCAGAATATTTTTACTTCTTAATGCGTTTGTAGAGAAGTGTATCCAGACCGAGATAAATATTACCTAGTTATTTGTGTTGTATATTATAAATCATCATCGGGTATTAAGCTCGTGGTATACGACTGTGCAAACATTAATCAACACCCCGTCAAAATAGCTGGTACACATTGTGTACATCTATCCAAGTTGATGGATGCAGGTGGCTCAGGATCTTGCTTCGTAACAGTCTGTGTGGGAGGCTTATGTTCTGCAGTGGACTAAAACAGGCTGAAATGATGAGGATGATGATGACCCTTTCGACTATTACTTTCTACTGCACTGATTATTGTAGACGACAATGGTAAAAAAGCAAGGACAAATAATCGTAAATTGTATTTTTCAACATGAACGTTTAATTACCTTAATAGAAAATATAGTAAACTTAAATTTTATTTATACATTAAAATCACTTATGAATTTAAGAACATACATATACATAAACTATTAAATGTACAATCTCACACAAACGTCTTTTATTCCGGATTCACGTCAATAATATGTACAATGTGTAAAGAAATTTTTATCGATGATAAAAATGTATGCAAAGATTATCGGTTAAGAATATTAAGTAAAATTTATTACTATGAGTAAAATCCCAAAAAAAATCCTTACCGTTGATAGAATGTATGGAGTCTCATAACGCATTAAGTTAATACAACATTGTTGTAATTTAATTATATTAAAATAGGGCATATACAAAAAAAACTTAGAACTTTGTAGCTATCACTTTATAGCTTCTCTGAATGCGATAAGAGTCATTTCAAATGATGACAGAGAATTAGGCAAAATATTATATAAGATCATCAATTAATTACGTTTAAAAAGTGTTATGTGGTGACATACAATGCATATTGATACAAGGTTGGGTTAGTAAATAACCTAATCAATAGTATATGATTAAAGGGAACAAAAAGCTGTCGTAGGTAATTATTTTAAATATTCGCAATCAAAATCAACAAATTACCTCACATATTCCTTACAGGATTTGGATTGTATTTTGTCGTAGAATAATTATATATTATTTAAACTACATGTAGATTATAATTTAAGAAACCAAAAATCCGACTGCATTTCGGTATATTTTTTTATTTTGATATACCCAGTATCACTCCCGCACTAAATACGTATCAAACGACACCTGTCAATCGAAAATCCATTAAGCTGTTCAGGCTGCAGAGCGTACCAAACAATTATACATACATACATGCTCTCGAAAAACATAACCCTCCCTCTGGCGCAGTCGGCCAATAAATTAATTAAAAATAAAAACGTTTATATCACACTTAGAAAAGGAAATATTTATTTACATGACAGTTTTATGATGTACTATATACATTATAAATAGATTTCTCTAAAATATGAACAAGAAAAATTGTCAAAAAAGAGAATAGTGTTCAGAAGAACAATCTTCGGGTTGAGTCAGTACATATATTGAAGTAATTTTATTCTAGTCAAAACTTTCATTTTCTTATCATTATATCACATTTTTTTACATACCTTAAAATTTACTATTTACAGGTTATTAACATCATGCCGAAAGTGTATCGGTATATGACAAGTTTAATTAATTTTAATGAAGATGATGATATCTATTTGATTTATCGGTTCTCTTTGATATTTTTATATACATATTTTTTTTAATCAAATTTACTAATGAAATAAAATAGTATGTTAGAAATGTTATTGATATAAAACGAAGGCGAATGTAAGCATAGTTAACGTTGCAGACATTTTCGAGGTTTGAGATGTAAGTATCAAATTCCTGTAGTCCTTCGCCTCATTTTGTGATGGATAAGTGTACGTTCGGTCGGTAACACTTTTCACAACTGCGGGACACGGTAACAGCTCAACGGGAATTTGCAACAGAGTCTTCTCATTTTCTTTCTTCATCAATTTCGGCTCATCAACGAACTCCTCGTCCAGTTCATCTTGAATCGAGTCTTCTGTGTTATCTTTGTAATCTCTAATTTGATTTTTATCGTCTAGAAAAAAGTCGTTGTAGCCAATCTCACTTTTTTCGTAAAACATCAGGTGGGAATTCATCACTGGGTCCGAGTTGAGTTTGCAAACGAAATTCTCTAATGATGTTCTCACTCTGATGCTTTTCGCTTCGTGGCGTAGTTTGTGCATCCATGCTAGATAGCAGTCACATTCAAAATCATTACCTGCAAAATTGTAAATATATGATATTTAAACATTCTACACGAATATCAACTTGGAACAGATTCTGAAATAGATTTTAGGAATTTGACAGTTGAAACTGATAAATTTTAAGAACCGATTGTACTGAAGAGTCGATTATAAGTTCGATAAAAGTAGTAATTCGTTATATCTGCTATGAGTGACATCCATACATATTTATATTGTGTTTGTCTAACATTACCAAAGTATGATCTGGAGGGAAAATTGTAATTGATACACGTTAATGTTCTTCATAAAATATGTATATAATGACTTAAAAAAATAAGTGCAGTACTCTTCATTAATTCTAAAATGAAATGGTCATTATATTGTGCGGTATAAATAAGGAAGTGAGAATCATTTAATTATTACCTTGCATATAAATAAAGCTCTTTTGCGACTTCAAGTTATCGTAAATAGGCCTTATATTTTCGAAAGTTAATCTTTTTAATTTGTTGTATCTTAAATCTAAAGCTGAAAGACCTCGTACTCCTTCAAACAATCCACTAGTTAAACTTATTAATTTATTGTGACTTAAGCTTAATTTCTTTAACTGTGATAATCCGTCAAATGTTCTTTGTGCCAATTTATTTATCTCGTTGTGATCCAGCAGCAACTCTTGAAGATTCCATAATTCGGTAAAAGTAAATGAGTTTAAAACAACGAGCTTATTTCTCCTTAAGTCTAGACGCCTTAGATTAGCAAGCCCATCGAAACATTCCTTCTTGAGATCGCTTATATTGTTTCTGTCCAATTCTAGTTCTAAAAGATTTACAAGATGCTTAAAGGATCCATCTTCGATGAAACTTATGTTATTACTGGTTAGATAAAGTTTATGCAGACTAGGCAATTCATAAAAGGTTTCTGTAACTAGTTTCGTTATTTTGTTCTCATCTAATGTGAGAACCGTCAAATTGGGCAAATTGTAAAATGTATGTTTACTTAATGTTACTATTTGATTTTTAGTTAAGGTGATGTCTTGGACATTTGTTAAGTTGGCAAACGAATAACTCTCAATATCTACGATGGAGCTGTATTTGATACTAAAATTCTTCAACTTCCTTAGATATTGTAATACTTTGGTAGGTACAAAACTGAGTCCACCATCTGCTCTTACATTGAATGCTAAATTCTCAATATTAGACTGGGATGTAAAACTAGACCAGAGGGAATCCGATTTCTCAATGCCTCCATTGAACACCCAGCATTCTGTTTTGAATGCTTCATTAATATCTTGACTGTATTCACAGTAGCAATGAACCTTTGAGTCTCTGTCACTAATGTCACATATGTTTATGATGTTCCGTTCAATTTTTTCCTTCTGCTTCCGTCTTGTCGCGTGGAGAGACTCTAATGCAAAAAGCAGCAGTAGCAAGGTAGCGGGTACCCTTGGAGCCCGCATACCTTCTACCTGAAAAAAAAAAAAAGAAACAAATTTTAAAGATTACATTTTGAGAACATACGAGTTAATATTATTAACTTTATTTGTTAAGTTTTTCGGTTAAATAATTCAACATACAAATGAACAATTTCATGTGCATTATATAAACAAAACTAATTTATGTTAATTCACAACATCCCTAAGAAAATGTTAGCATTACAATTTTGCAAGCAATGAAATTTTACTCGTATTCACGCAGAGTCTCGGCTATCATAATATAACTTGGAGTTAAAATAACAAATTTAAATGCCGTATTATTAAATAACTAACACAAAAATAAAACAGAAACCATAACTTATATATTACTGAATGGATGATTAGAAATAATTTAAACTTAAACGTTAGTAAAACCAACATTATTCAATTTCAAACATAAAACCCTACATCTATAAATGTTATAAATAATAATAAGATAAGGAGAAAGTAAGAATCAACAAAAGTTCTTGGGCATAACGATCGACAAATATTGTAGCTGGAAGGTACATATCGATAAAATTTGTTCCAAGTTAGAAGGTTACGTATACGTTTTAAGCCGATTAAAACAAATTGCGACACCAAGCCCTGCTCTTTGTGCCTATTACGGATATGTTTCCTCCATTTTGCCTTATGGAATAATTATATAGGGTAATTCGATCGATTTAATCAGAGCTTTCACAGCGCAAAAAACATGTCTCAGATCTATAAGTGACACAGAAAACCATATTCTGCCGCTACCTTGTTTATATTGTAATTTAACATTTACTAAATTTGCTTATTTGCTCATAAATATCCGGCCGTCTTTAAAAGTAATTTAGGAATAAACAATCCAAATAGTAGATTCTCGAACAAGCTACACATGCCTCCCAACATGATTGATACATGATACATACATGATGATACTACAATGTTCAGCAAAAACTGTTATTGTATGGCCATTAGGATATATAATAAATTACCAAATAGATTAAAAACTTTGAATTTAAGATTGTTTAAGCGAAATCTGTTTAACTTTTTGATAAGTAAATGTTATTATTCCACAGTGGATTATTTAAATGATAAAATTTTATAAAAACAGTTTTCCTAGAATATATTTACTTTTGTTTTATTTTCTTTTGCAAGTTTTCAATGTAAAATGAAACATTTGTACACCAGAAATGGTAGAACATGAAGGATCCACAGCTTTTAAGACCTATATTGTACCATGTTCTAACAAATAAACGTATCTTTCTTTCTTTCTTTCTTTCAACGCTAAATTCAGTAACGCAAATTGAATAAGTTCAAAACGTGAGGTACCTGCTGCATTCGTATTGAATATAAATGATTATTAAAGACTTTAAATTAAAGAAATTATTTAAAACATTTTAATTTCTTCTAGGTTAATTTCTCAAAGGTAACAAGCAACTCATAGATAATAAAATTAATTAAAAGTTCTTTTTCCTAGACTTTTACGTTCTTAAATTCTTCTTTATTTACGACGGCAGAAGATTGAGTAATTAAAGTGTTACTAAAAAAACTTTTTGCACACTAATAATATACATTTTGCATACTTCATAAAGTTTTGTGACGAACGTCTTAACGTTACTCACACCACAGTTTCTTGGGGTCAGAACCTAAATAACCACTTTTTTGTCTTTGACACTTTTTTAAAATAACATGCAATAGAAATTGGTCTAGTTATTTAGCGCAAAGATCTAGCTTTAAGATGGCTACTTTGAGGTATACCATGCTTTTTACGATTTCGTTCACTTTCATCATATTTGGCAAAAACCGTAACTAACGGTTGTAAGTATATCATAACAATAACAATTCTGACGAGAGATCGTATAAAAATATTAAAATGAAACGAAACTTATAATAACTTCAATTCAGTATAACTGTATGATATTCGTGTTATAGAACAATTGTTCACAATTAACAAAACTGTTTTTGCGCCATATTTTAATTCATGCTCACCTGATTGATTTGAAGATTGTAATACAATAAATGTCGGAATCTTTCAATAAACCGTTCATCCGATTCTACGTACTTATCAGTATTAAATTATTTTTTTTAGTACAAAACAGTAGCCCGATAACTATATGACGGTAAATATGACCTTTCTTATCATCAACTCTCATGTCTTCGATAATAATGGAGTAGACAAAGATACATGTAGAGTAGATAAAGATAGATATATGTATAGTACATTCAGTAGCAATAATGTGTCAACTTTTACTATTAAAAGGAAGCAAAGCCTGTATGTCTTTTACGACACGTTTGTATACGATTCAAAAGGTATGTAATGTGTTTATTGATCATTAGTTACGGAACATAAACATTATATTAGTACCTAATATACCAGTTCGTAGAAAAGGCGCTTCTGCGTAGTAAAGTGAAGAAAACAATGATAAGGCTTGAAACAAAATAAATAAAACAGAAATCCATACGTAATTTCTGACTCCTGAAATAAAAATAAGTGTTTCTTATTTCATATTTATTATTCATATTTCTATTAGCACTTTTGTTTCCATTATGTAGAAGTTAATCTAACTTTAATGACAATCTTAATTTTATAATATGCGTGAAAACTATTTACCAAAAGGATAATCCAGTGCCAAGCGACCCCATATAATTAAATAATTTAGTTAGCTTAAATTCCAGCTGCAAAATGAGAGGCAAGTGAACAATTCCCACATATTATGGTTGCGAAATTAAAGGCTACTAAATTATAGGAAGGTTTGGGATTACCGAGCTACCGGAATATCGCGAGAGATGTCGTAACATTTTCTACTTGGCGTGTCAAATATTCGATAATTTTCATGGACAATTTGTGTAGTAAATTAATATGAAATTGGTATGTAACACTCTAATTAATGGCACTCTATCAAACTTGATGATTATGAAAAACACAATAATAACAACATACATTTTGCTTTTTTTGAATTATTTTGTTTGAAGAAATATTTATTCAGATATATATGAAATTTACCACCGCAATCCATAAGACAACGTTTCGCGAATAATTTCATTCACATTATTTTGATATTCATCCCCGTTATGTTATTTATCCCTTCTGTTATTTAAGCATTATCTAATACTGTTATTTAAGCACCGTTGAGCTTTATTTGAACATCCCCGCTACGTTGGGAAAACATTAAACATTTAATAATAACAGGAAGTAGTAAAGTAAAACAAGAAGTAGTAAAAATCATTAGCAATCACAAATGGAGGAAATAACCAACGACTTTGTGGAAGACAGGTTAATGCTTTTGAATAACGAACCAACAACTTGTTAGTACTTTCACGCTACCCCACTTATTGGTAAGTTAACAAGTGCTTAAAAATAACCACCATTTTAGCCCAGTTAAAGTCGAAGTCAGTTCGAATTATAGTTGTAAAACGATATTCGAAATTGTTTGTATGCTGGAAAGGATGTAAAAATGGATGCGCCAAGCATTGTTTCAAATGCTAAAAGACAATGTAGATAAAAGTCGTTAAGATTTCGTCGGTTTCTAAAGCGTCAGGCCGCGAATGGCGAAGACGTGGGTTCGATTCCCGCCGTTTCATCTTTCTATGAGAATAAACACGTTATATACACGGCATGGAAGGGGTCTTCAAATTGTTTCATGGAGACAAGTGCTTGTTTTATATCCATGGTATGTTGACGAAAAATATTGAGTCAATTGTCAAATTTTATGACGATGGAAAGGCTAGGGTAGAATTAGTTCGTGTGCGGATGGCACTGGACACTCAAAAAAAATTAAAGCTGTCTGGCGTCTGTTCTCGGGACAATTAAATGAATTAAGTATACTATATCTAGGCTGAAAAGTGCTTAAAATAATGATTAAAATCCAATTTCGTTCTTACAGTCACATCAACCCTAGGTCCACCAACACATATATGGATTATGTTTTAGTTTTATATTATTAATTAAAAAAAAATATGTACAATAAGTCTACATAGAATTGAGCGGGAAAACT